CCTGCAGCTCAACTGCACTGCCACCACCTGCAGCATCAACTGCCACCCCTGCAGCATCAACTGCCACACCTGCAGCATCAACTGCTGCCCTGCAGCACTGCAGCAGCATCACTTCCACTGCAGCTCAACTGCCACCACCTGCAGCATCAACTGCTCACACTGCAGCATCAACTGCCACCACCTGCAGCATCAACTGCTGCCACCTGCAGCATCAACTGCTGCCACCTGCAGCATCAACTGCTGCCACCTGCAGCATCAATCCACACTGCATCATGCACCACCTGCAGCATCACTGCTGCCACCTGCGTAACTGCTCACCTGCAGCATCACCTGCTCCACCTGCAGCTCAACTGCTACCACTCGCTCAACTGCTGCACCTGCAGCATCAACTGCGCCACCTGCAGCATCAACTGCATGCCACCTCCAGCACTTCTGATAACTGAGATCAAGCTGTGCATTACTCTACCTGCGCGTCAACTGCTCAGCACCAGCGCTGCAACATGTAAATGCCACCTGCAGTACTCACTGCCACACGCAGGCATACAATGCTACTGCACACCTGCCAGTATCAATTCTCTGCACACCTGCGTTATCTACTGCTACACCTGCAGATCAATGACCACAAACCTGCCTGCAGCATAATGATGACTGCAGCACTGCTACCACCTGCAGCTCAACTGTACACCACCTGCAGCGTATCTCCAAGCCTGATCACTGCAGCTCAACATGATACTCACCCCTGACACTCACTGCACACCTGCAGCGTCAATAGCTCTGCACCATCTGCGCTCAAGCTGCCCACCTGCAGCATCCATCTGCGACACTGCAGCACAACTCGCCTTCCATGCAGATCAACCCTGCCTGTACCAGACATCTGTAAGTAATCTGTATAACTCAAGCACAACCTACATCCAACTGCATGGTCCAGACCTAGCAGCAGTCAACTGACAACCAATTGGAGCATATATCAACTGCCACTGCTAGTCATCAAGCTGCCACCCATAGCATATCTGCAATCAAGCTTCAATTTTTACCGGACCGTGCAGGATCAACCTGCTAACAACTGCAGCACAACTATGGCTACATGCAGCAGTCAACTGACCATGCCACCTGCAGATTCAACTGCTGAAACCAGGGAACCACAACTCTCCACCTGCAGCTCAACTGCCCTCACCTGTCACCATCACTGCCACCCCTGCAGCTCAACTGGGCTGCCACCTGCAGCATCACTGCTGCCACCTGCGCATCAACCGCTGCACCTGCACACTGTAATGGTTAGTAAGGCATAAACTTGTAAGACAGATTACTCTTTATCCACCTTGCAATGTTCAACGCTGCCAGGAGCTCCCAGCAGTTTGGTAAGTATATCTGATTCACACCCGGTATATCAATAACCTCGTATATCATTCCTTGCAAGTGTCATGTCTTGCAGTACAGGCTGAGGAGCTTGTCAGTTTTTTAAGAGTGCAAGATCTGATACCTGTGACACGCCAGGCTATTATCAATGGCCTGCAGCATAGTCATCACCTGGACCAAGTAGTCAGATTTTCTCATAGTAATTACAAGTTGTTTTTTTACTGGTACGTAGAGGAAATTACCAACAAACCTCTGGCCAGCCAGGCTATGGTTGGTAAGTTGGACTGCGTGCGGTCAGCTGTAACAGCCTAGTTGACCAGGGTTTTATCCTCCAAGAGGCTTGGTCTGGGACCGAACCAAAGGGATACTCATCCCCGGAAGCATCCTTCCAGAATGCAGAACGTCCAATAGGCTTCTTTTTCACTCTGGCCAGCTGGCCCAGTGGCTTTCGCATTGGCCTGAACTTTACGACTCGCTTTCCATGGGTTCTAACCCCGCCTGTACCGTGGTTACACTCTGGTAAAGGTTGTAATAGGTTATAAAACTAAGACAAATATATTTAATCACAAACTGAACTCGTGTGAGACACCTATGGCAGAGTGCAACCAGAAAACCAAGTTGGTAAGAATATTATTCACACTGTCAATTATTATAATCATAAGCGCTAAACCCATTTGCAATAGTGAACAATAAAATGGTATAAAATACCGACAGGTTGTTTAGGTAAGACATATGCAACAGTTAGGTATCGAAATAAGGATACCTAACTGTTGCATATGTGTCTTACCTAAACCATTTGCAATACTTCCGCAAAGACGTTTTTTTTTTTACCTATGTTGTGAAAAATAATTTCCCAAAATTATATATTATTGATAATGTAAATATACATGATTAATGCATTACTGTTGCTCTGAAGTGTATTTTGAAGAGGAGAACCAAGAGAAGGTGCGCATGCGCTGGGTCAGGGAGTCTCGTGAGGGTCTAGGCCTGGGAGAGAGTACTAGTTAACATGAACCAGGAAATTGGCTGTTCTGACGGTCGAAACGTGATTGGTGGACCCACTTCATGATAGGAAGTGTTGTAACTGTTCCTAATGAGGAGTGAAGGAAGGTAATTTGCGGGACCACTATAACCAGGTGGGAAAATTAGTAAATAGGGACGCCAAGTGGGGCAGTGGCGCGACGCCATGGAGATTGTTCACGGGAAAATACCAGTGATTTAATCGTCACTCATCGGTCTCCAATCTTAATGTATCGACCTCTAATGCGTGTAAAATTCACGAGACGTTAATTCGTCTTGTGAATTGTAGTGGAGTCAGTGATAACAATACTAAGTTAAGGAATGATTGATGTGATATGAGCTGCCATTCCCCGACTGAGTGAGCACATATTAACCTCGTGATTCCGGTCCCGGGGATTGTGGAGGTTTTACGGAGTCACAGCTCCTAAACCGGGACAAACCAACGGATACCTCGTCCTGCTGGAGTAAGAACGTATCGGTGTAGCAGGACATCGAAATGACCAGAGAAAATCTGGTAAGTGGTAATTCGTTATGTTCACGTGTAACCCCTCCCCATCTTTTCCTTCAGTCAATATAATCCATACAGTCCACAACAAATTAGTAGCGCCGTTCCTGTGGGTGCTATCCACTTCTATACTGGTCTAGGATAGATATGGGTAAGATTGTGCGGGTTATCGAAGGGCACTTGCTATGTATGATAATCTCTAACTGTATTTGTGTATACCTGAAACTTATTTACCAGGGGTGGCCTAAGTTTTTTCACACGTCTACATGGGGTAACTGCTGTAAATATATATTTTTTTTCTTATTCGCCGGTATTCTCCCGGTCCGGGTCTTTTCCAAGTAGTGGTGACCCGGCCTTGGCTCCCTATCTGGGGAGTGTCTCGAGACCTAAGTCTCCCATGGGAGGAGGTACAAGTATCCCCTCATTGGGACCAAGTGTCCCCAGGCCTAGCCACAGTCCCCGCCCTCACGGGGCTCGTAGGGAGAAGCTAGGCCTTGGTCTGCCATCTTCCCCGCCCCAAAGGGGCTCGTGGGTATATATGGTTGTCGCCTCCTAATGAGATTACTTGTGTGAATGTAATGTTGAGGTACATACAGGTAACCCCTTATAAATTTTCCATATCTGCCATATGTCAAGAAATCTTATTAATGAAAATAAGATATCAGATATACTAAGCAAATTTCTTAAATTTGCTTGTAACATAAGTGAACTGTAGATATGTATATATAAACCCATATGTACACCTGTTGACTCTTGTGGGGCCTAGTTCTTAGGCCTTTTATGTATCCATATGCTCTTGCACTACCCTCCACAGGATGGATATACCTGGAGGTTATTCTGGGGATCAACGCCCCCGCGGCCCGGTCCATGACCAGGCCTCCCGGAGTGCACAATAAACTAGCCACTTCGGTGGCAAAATCTAAATCTAATGGAACAAACTCCCGAGTACCGTCCTAGAAGCTAGGACATTGTGTCATTTTAAAAATAGGTTAGATAAATGCACGAGTGGGTGTGAGTTGCTACTGGGTCAGATGCCGTGCTCCTCCCTTAAGTGGAGGTGACCTGACTATGTGGGCCATTGGTCTAAGCCGGGGGGTTAACATGGACCTGCCTCGCAAGGGCCAGTAGGCCTGCTTCAGTGTTCCTTATAAAATGAAGAACAAGATGAAAATGGAGTAGGCGTTTTCTCTTATAGGTTCCCCCCCCCCCAAGTAGCATCACAACCTCTGATCTTCCTCTTATCCATCACCTCAACCTTATTATTACCTAGTTTATTATTACCTAGTTTATTATTACCTAGTTTATTATTACCTAGTTTATTATCTAGTTTATTATCTAGTTTATTACCTAGTTTATTATTATCTAGTTTATTACCTAGTTTATTATTACCTAGTTTATTATTATGTAGTTTATTATCTAGTTTATTACCTAGTTTATTACCTAGTTTATTATTACCTAGTTTATTACCTAGTTTATTATTACCTAGTTTATTATTTAGTTTATTATTATCTAGTTTATTATCTAGTTTATTATTATCTAGTTTATTATTATCTAGTTTATTAAAATATGCTTTAGTATTAAGAACCGTACATATACAATCAATGGTTCAGATAGAACAATAATAATGATACTGAAAGCAATAATAATAATAATAATAATAATAATAATCGTAATGGTAAAATGGCAAAATAACGACTTTTGAACAATTCAAGTTACGAACAGCCTTCTGGAACGTAAATTGTTGGTAAGTTGGAGGGGGGGGGGGGTCTGTATTCTACATTTTCCTCCATTGTTGTTCTCCATACAACTTTGGGAGACGCTGACAAATGGTGAATAAAAAAAACACTGACAGTAACCTTTCAACGCAATTTGGTTTAGCTCTCGGTAATGTTCTCAACGAAGAGTTCAACCAAGAGCGACACTGACTTTTATGGGTTATCCTGGGTTCTGTACATATATGCTGCTATATATGATAATCTACGTAACTGTATATACCTGAATAAACTTACACTTGTTTAAAAGTCTTAATTTGCCTTTTGACTGGCCTGCATTTTACCCAGCCACTGTCTGGTGTTTATTATACATAGTTTGCGACAGCAAGAAGACAGACAAGACTTACGTTCGTCTCTGGCAGTGTGGCAGCCAGGCTTGGCGTTAATCTGGAAGGGCAGGGGCTTGGGAGCGTCGAGTTCAATACAGTGCTCGAAGAGACCTTGTCGCCAGCCAACAGCCAGCAGCCAGTCTGAGGAAGCCAGGGCCAGGACCATCAGGAAGGCTGTGATGATACCGCACACCAGTGCTATCACCTGGAAAAAACAACCATGGTTACTCTCTCACACACCAGTGTTATCACCTGGAAAACAACCATGGTTACTCTCTCACACACCAGTGTTATCACCAGTAAAACACACATGGAAATTAAGACATGTGCAACATCTGGGTATCTTTATTGTAGACGTTTCACCATCCAGTGGCTTTATCAATACAAATTCTAGGACATAACTTGAAGACAGTAGAACTATGTACAGAAGATGAGGTAATCAGTCCCTCAACCTAGTAGTAGGTGCGAAGAGCACCATAGTCGTGGAGTTTCTGAATCTCCACGACTATGGTGCTCTTCGCACCTACTGCTAGGTTGAGGGACTGATTACCTCTTCTTCTGTACATAGTTCTACTGTCTTCAAGTTATGTCCTAGAATTTGTATTGATAAAGCCACTGGATGGCGAAACGTCTACAATAAAGATACCCAGATGTTGCACATGTGTCTTAATTTCAATCTTGTCGGTATTATATACCATTCTTACACAAAACACACATGGTTACTCTCACACACCAGTGTTATCACCTGTAAAACATAACCATGGTTACTCTCTCTCTCACCTTATTGCCACCCACCCACACACACACACACACACACACACACACACACACACACACACACACACACACACCTGTATACCTCCCGCAAGCAATCACTTTACTCTCACAATTTCAAAGAGCTATGCACCGATAGTGCTGATATCCTACATTATCCGAGTCTTTGCAAGCGTTATAATGAAGGTCGGCAGGATGGGTTTACAGCAGGTTGCTCCTCCCGTTCATAATTTCTTAACCATTACATGACTTTGGACTCTGAAATACGAAGTATTTATGTAGTTTCCAAGTGCTTCGCGAAAGTCCTCGACAAGTGCGACCATTCAAATTCAAAATTTATTCTCTATAAGGATTACAATGCTGAGTTTACAGAATTTGGTTGTGTGGTTTACATGTAGTAAAATAATAATTACAGTGTACCACTAGAACACCTAGCACAAAGTATGCAAAAGGAATAATTGGAAAAGTGAACAAATGGGATTTTAGCTCGCTAACATATCTGAACAACAACAAGAGTGAACATGATGAACAGCAGAGGCTACCACTGTGAAAATCTGTCCTCCATGACGCAATACTAACCTCTTGTCTCTCATTCTCATATCCACTTAACCTTACAACTTACAATTCCGGGGTCACTGTCCCTGCGGTCCTTTCCTAGATCAAACCTCACGGTTGTTGGCTTGATCGACCAGTCTGTTGGTGCTAGCAGAAAGAAGGCTAAAGAATAACAAAAAAGGCACAATACCGTGACTGGAACGATACACAAATAACCCGCACATAAAAGAGAAGCTTACGACGACGTTTCGGTCCGACTTGGACCACTGACAAAGTCACAGTGTGACTTTGTGTAAGGCTATTTGTGTAAGGCTAAAGAATGCACCATAGCCCAGCTAATCAGGAACCTACTTTAGGAACACATCAAGCTCCCTCCTGTAGACAGCCAGAGGGTTTTTATTTCATCTTGTGCAAGGAGGAGAGTAAAAAGTCGAGGACCTCTTACACTTAAGAGTTTTCTCTTAGTGTACTCATCGCGCCCCTGCTATTTACCGGAGATGTTTGCACCATCTCGCAAGTTTTTCATAGAGTGATTTTAAGATACGGGACCAGTCCCTCCAGGATTTCCCAGGTGTAAATTATGATGTACTCCTTGGAAAGTAGGCGAGAAAGGAACAACTGAAGGTACTTAAAGCATTCCCAACTAGTTCAGATATCTAGATGAATTTATACAGGCAAAGGTGATTCTCTAAGTTTTCTAACTGTGCAGTCTTCCCTTGAAGGGTGCTCAGACTTCAACTATAGTACTGTATCATACTTGACAGACCATACAACAATTATGAGCATGTCATCCACTGAGAACACAGCACATCTCCAAGCTGCTACGAACCAAGTCTTCCAGTGGGCCCCAGACATGATATACAACGAAGCTAAATTCCAGTTACTCCGCTATGAAAGTGATTAATTAGCATTGGATTATATTAACGAGAACCACTAAACATGTAGGGGTCATACAGCGCCTGAATAATGTAAATTATAAATATTTAAAGTGGACTTGCCGTCCCATGTCTCGCTGGAGCTACGTGTGTCGTGAAGGTGGTATCCAATATACAGTATATAAATTGGCAGGAAATGACATGGTCACAAAATTTGCTTAGGGTGGCCAGGGAGTGGAGAGAGGTGGGGACAGGGCTCAAGTGTTAGTGGGGAGTGGGTGGGGAGAGAGCTAGCAATACTACGGGCCCCACTGTGGAAAGAAGGGTGGGGAGAGAGCTAGCAATACTACGGGCCCCACTGTGGAAAGAAGGGTGGGGAGAGAGCTAGCAATACTACGGGCCCCACTGTGGAAAGAAGGGTGGGGAGAATGAATACCCAAAAACCCGCACTTAGAGAAGATACGATTTTCTTCGGATTTTTAACCCTGGAGGGTTAGCTACCCAGGATAACCGAAGAAAGTCAGTGCGTCATCGTGGACTGTGTAGCTTATTTCCATTGTGGTCCTCAATCTTGTCCCCCAGGATGCGACCCACACCAGTAGACTAACACCCAGGTACCTATTTGCTGTTAGGTGAACAGGACAACGGGTGTAAGGAAACGTGTCGAAATGTTTCCACCTCGCCGGGAATCGAGCCCGGGCGCTCCGTGTGTGAAGCGAGACCTTTAGCCACCGGGGCATCCAAACAGGAGGGCGGGAACTTAATTACGACGTTTCGGCCAGTCCTGGACTACTGTCAAGTCACAACCGAGTCACAATCTCAGGGTTTTTAGTGATGACAAGATAAAAGTTCACTGTGAACCTATGTTAAGACAAGTTCTGATGAACACGACTCGGTACCTAACTTCTAAATTGAACTGGGATAAGTTACTGATGGGCGAAACTACTTCGTAAGACACCCAGGTGTTCCACACGCGTCTTATTTATCATCTTGTGGGTAATGTACACTGCTGATGTAATTATACCAGCTGTGATAGCCCGGCGGAAGCACTGGTCCCAGACTAGGTTTAATCAACCAGGCTATTGGTGCCAACAGCACTCAGGAACCAGAGTAACAGTTCTTATATGTCCATCATACAACAGTCTACTGGTACATCATACCTGTGACCTCTTACCAAGTCGCAAGAGAACATACAAAAGACGGTGCCGGATCAACCGGGCTGTGGTTCGTACGTTGGATTACGTGCGGCCAGCAGTAATAGCCTGGTTGATCAGGCCCTGATCCACCGGGAGGCCTGGTTGTGGACCTGGCCGCGGGGGCGTTGATCCCCGGTATGACCTATAGGTAGATGTGGTGTGTGTGTATATATATATATTATATATATATATATATATATATATATATATATATATATATATATATATATATATATACAAACAAACACTGATCTCTGGCTGAAGGAGACTCGAACCTACGAACCTTAGGACAAGGTACGCAGTGCTTTTACCAATCTACCCACACTGGACCAATACCTTGGCGTGTAGCATTCGCTACACGTTTGATCCAAGGCAGCCAGCTTTCAGGGAGAAGGCTTACAGCTTTATATATATATAATATATATATATATATATATATATATATATATATATATATATATATATATATATATATACATACACATATATATTCACACACACACACACTGCTGCAGCATATGGGCGCCTGGCAAACCTGAGAATAGCGTTCCGATACCTTAGTAAGGAATCGTTCAAGACACTATACACCGTGTACGTCAGGCCCATACTGGAGTATGCAACACCTGTTTGGAACCCGCACCGGATCAAGCACGTTAAGAAGTTAGAGAAAGTGCAAAGGTTTGCGACAAGGTTAGTTCCAGACGTAAGAGGAATGTCCTACGAAGAAAGGTTGAGGGAAATCGTTCTGACGACAATGGAGGACAGGAGGGTCAGGGGAGACATGATAACTACATATAAAATACTGCGTGGAATAGACAAGGTGGACAAAGACGGGATGTTCCAGAGATGGGACAAAGACACAAGAGGACACAATTGGAAGTTGAAGACTCGGATGAATCAAAGGGATGTTAGGAAGTATTTCTTCAGTCATTAAGTAGTCAGGCCGTGGAATAGCCTAGAAAGTGACGTAGTGGAGGCAGGAACCATACATAGTTTTAAGACGAGGTATGATAAAGCTCATGGAGCAGGGAGAGAGAGGACCCAGTAGCAACCAGTGAAGAGGCAGGGCCAGGAGCTATAACTCGACCCCTGCAACCACAAATAGGCGAGTACAAATAAGCGAGTACACACACACACGTGCAGCAGTATCTCTAAATAGTGCTCCCCGGATTTATCGTTCTAGTAGCTGTCCTAAGACATAATACCGACCATCATAGGTGAGTGAATCAGTCAACATACCTACAACAATATAACTCACAAGAATGTAAATTATGTGATAATATCAAGAATTTTTTGAATTTAAATATGAACAAATGGCGAGTGAGGGAGAATAACAATCAGGTGCTGGCACCAGTGTTGACAATATTCATAGTTAAATGGATCAAAGTTGTGATATTAAGTAATAATTAATACAGATATTAGTGGGTTATAGCAGTAGTGTTGTGATGAGGTTATAAACGATTGACTTAAGAAAAAATGATTCAATCCCCAGCTGTTGGTGTTGTGAATGTTATTATCAGATTTGTTATGACCATAATACCGTAGTAAATAAGGGTGAATAACACGTATCAAAACAAAAATAAAAACTAGAATGGATGATAAACCTCGTGAAGGAGTTAAAAAATAATAATGACAGCAGTCACCACCAGGAACCTCCAGTGTTGTGTAGACAACACTTGTCTAAAGGTTCCTTGATGCTGGTGACGGGCTCTTGATCTAGGGAATTGGATCTGTTCTCCAGTTCCCTGAATTAAACTTGAATACCTTCCACATATCCCCCCCCCCTTCAGGAGCTGTATAATCTT